CCGCAAAACCCCAAAACCCCAAAACCCCGATAGTTAAAATTAGTAAAATTTAAGTTATTAAATAAACTTCAAATCAGCATGATACTAAATAAATTATTTAGATATTTACATTTTAAGATTTAACTGACAGTCAGTCAATACTAATCTAAATCAAATGGAGAGGTAATATCGCTCTATCTATTGTTTTCAGATCTTTATTTCCTAGATACTCGAGAGATATAATTCGCAGAATCAATTTACTTGATACTAGGCTATTCAGTATCTTAAGGTATTTCCCATGGCTCAATAGAGTAAAATGAGGAATTAAGACCACCATCTTCTTTTGAATACTACAATTAATAATCATTACTTCTTCCTCCTTTTTAGTTCTTTAGTTCAATTTCACACTTATATTCTCTGTTAGGATAGTATTCTTATTTTTTATTGTCAAAACTTATTGAAGGCAGATTCACAAATACATTGGTAAGCACAATGATGCTCTTTTTATTCAATGATTTGTTTTACTTAGATACCTTTTTTCTCTTAACTTTTGGCACTCTGTACATACTCTTGTCTACCACTACTTGCTTTTTAAAGGGATACTCATCGTCGTATTAAAGCTAATCATTTTCGAAATTCTAATCATGAGTTTTCATTTAGTTGACTTGAATTGTTTGAGAATTTATCTTGGTCAATAAATGATCTTAGTCCTGTGAATGATTATCCTATTTCTTTCTATTCCTGTTCCCCTTTATCTTTTTGAAAATAAAATTATCACCAAGCACTTAATCTTGAACATTATTAAGATCTAAGAGACCTATACTTTGCTTATAGTAATCTTCAATTTTGAAATGTTTAAGACCGTTTCTGAAAGATTATTAGTGGAGATTTTAGTTTGAAGGTAAATTCAAATTGGCTTAATTTGGATTGAAATCTTGCTGAATTTTTGGCATTTAAATTGTATTTTCAGATTATCTAATGGAATTCATTTGGCTGTCATTAATTGAAACATATTTGGTTGAAAGATCTGGAAGGTTAATCGTTATGTTGTTGTTTATCATTCCATAGTTATTTGTAATGTTAACCACATTGTTAGAGTGAGAAATAAAATTAGTTTTGTCTAAGGGAGATTAGCCATTTAATGAGGCTAAAGATTACTTTTTAGTTTTACTACCTAATTTTCCCTTTACTTAAACTTAATGTCCATTGATCAAAGGATAATCAGGTAGCATATTCTACTAGTGTAGACCTTTAAGTTTATTTTCCATTTGATTACCCTTCCTCTTATATAGATCTTCTGTTCTGATTAATAAGCCAGATTTATCCTTTGAAGATCTATCAGTAAATATTTGTTACTGAGATTCATGATTATACAGTAACTCTAATTGGCCATCATCCATATTTTAGGACATATTGTGAAATATATGATCCTTGAAGCTCTGCTACTTTTGGTTTTGGAATGTTGGGTATTTATCATTTCTCATATAAATTGGTGAGACACTATTTTTATACTTGCTAGATTTATCAAAGCTATTCATTATCTTCATATAGTGATCCATTATCAATTACCCATTATTTGTAGAAACTAACTCATCGTTCTTAATAAACTAGTTCTTTAACTTGAATATTGAATCTGATTTTTCAAAACTTGGCTATTTTTGTTTTTGTCCAAATGGACCAGCTAAAGTTTGCTAGGGCTATTGTAATTTACTATTTAAGTCTTCTGTAACCATTTTAAGGTATTATTCATAGTAATTTTATGCTAGTGATTTCTAATTTGTTGAAGAAGTTTCAGTGACTCTTTCTTTATCACTGCTCATCAAATTTTTGTTACTTTTCCCAGCTATCAGATTGGTTTATCCATTTGGCAATCTCAAATCTGATCGACTTTATTGATTTTTCTTTTGCTTTTTTACTGTTGTTGAATTAACATATTGTACCTATCTTTTGGCTCTTAAAGGACTTTTGTTTGTGCCTCCATATATTGTATTGAATGATCTGGTACTATTTTACTCTATATTTAAGTTCAGGATTTAAAGTAATCTCTGACGATTAGTAATCAACTAGTTCTCATTATTTTGTAGTAACTGCGCTAAATCAGGTTTATTTTTGGACATTAAATATTGAGATTATTCAGCTTTTTTATTTTAAAATTAATCTTTTGTCCTTTTCATTGCTATTGACTCAATAAGGGGTTTTGGGGTTTTGGGGTTTTGGGG